TTTAAAATATATTCGTCCAAAATTATTTTTTATCGAGATTGGTTAAATAAAATAATAGTTTTCATACAAAAAAAGACACTATGGGAATATATATTTACAATTTATAAAGAGAATTTTGTTTAAGAAAAAAACAACAATAAACTATTGTAGAGACTAATTTTTCGATTTTTCATTTAAATTTAAACTTTTGAGATTTTATTGAAAATTTTAGAGCCGAATTTTAAGATGATGCAGAAAGAAAAATATTAAAAAAAGAAAAGAAAATAAGATAAGAAAAATTAAAAAATAGGTCAGTCAACTCAAAGAGGGTAAAATGGTCATTTAACCCTTTTTGTGTACCAGGGCGACCTCTCCCAAGGACATGCATGTCCCCTTCTCACTAAGTTCAACTCCCTCGTTCTACCCACTAAAACATAAAAACAAGAGCTTAGAACACTTCGATGCATACAAGTAATTACTATCAAATGGTGTTATATCTTTATCGAAAAGAAAGGTGCATCTTATTGGTATAGATAGTGACTTTCAATTATTTTAAACCTTTCTTAGTCATTTTATCTTAAAAAACGTTCTAATTCGAATGTGGTATTGGTTCATTCATATATACTTACCTTACTCGAGTGTCATAGTTTGAACTCCTATAATATAAATTTTTTCTCGATTAATATCGTTTGAAGTCCTCTAATATAAGTTTTTTTTTTCTTTTTTGTTAGCTACCAATACTCTTAAGCCCAACAAATTGTTTTTGTGGACCAGGAAGGATTGACCCATTTGAATCAATCACCATAAATATTTGTAAAGCCATATTGCTAGTTTATTTAAACGATGTGGGAGCGATGAAAAAGATCGTGTATTAGGTTGGTTTGGATTGGGTTGAGTTGTCAATTTTATCAACTAAAACCGTTCTTATTAAATAATGAACATAACTTATCTCAATCATAACTTTTTTTTTGGTGGGTTAGGTTCAGATCGTATTTAAAATTTTGATTTTAAAAATGTTAGTTTATAAAATATCTATATGTTTATTTTTGAACATTTAATTAATTTATATGTCTGAGAGCAAGTGCAAAACAATCTAAAAAGACTCGTGTTGATCCCTATCTCATACGGTATCCCTTCATCCATCTCTCCCTCTTGTGCAATTATTTTATGTAAACAAAAATGTGTTCTTCCACTAAAATAAAATTCGTTTGAATTCTTAAATTAGCTCGATTAGGACTCCCTATGATCCCATTTAAACCATTCCGGAGCTTTAAATAACATCAGTTTTTTTAATGATCACGATGAAAATAATTTCTTCTCTAGCAATGTGTATTAGGGATGTTCACGTGACAAGATAATTTGACCTATTTGAGTTGAGTTAGATTATTTATTTATTTATTTGAATTAGGTTGAATTTTGAAAAATCTAATTTTTTTTTTTGGTTTTTTTAGTTGGGTTAAATAAGTTTACAACTCAATCTTAATTTTTTTTTTAAAAAAAATTAAGAACATATGACTTATGTAACAAAGGTTAATTAATGTAACATATAGTTAGATAAATAGGATTTTTAAATAATAATAATAATAAAACTTGACAATCGTAGCTCAACTCAAAAATAGAGGGTTGAGTTTGGTTGGTTGTGAACTCTTAGGATTGCTCCGATCACCAACTCCCATGTTGGTCAAAAAGATTAATCTAACCGAGCCTAATCCAATCCGTATACACCTGTATCGATTTTTAAATTACTACCCTAATCTTTAATTTAAAAGTACTGTAATCTTTACTTTAAACTCAAAATTGAAAAAATGAACCGAACAAGTTTTTCTTTGAAGAATCGTTATTAAAAGTATTCTTACACGTCTCCAATAAATTACGACAAATGCTCGATTTCATTCATTAACCGGACTTAATTTTGTAAAAAATTAACTTTGTGGATCATGTCTCAAGAAATATCCTTTTCTTTCTTTTGTTACATGTGCCCTTTTATCATCTCCAAGTATCATATGCTTTTTAGCCACCCAACTTTAGGGGACTTCTCCTTTGATTAGGTCCCATTTATTTTGATTCATTATAATAACCTTTCATGATCTTCTCCGAGGGGAATGTGATATCCCGTCTTGGTTGGGGAGGAGAACAAAACACCATTTATAAGAGTGTGAAAAACTTTTTCCTAGTAGACGCATTTTAAATGCTTGAGGGAAATCCCGAGAGAGAAAGCTCAAAGAGGAAAATATCTGCTAGCGGTGGACTTAGGTCGTTACAAATGGTATCAGAGCCAGACACCGGACGATGTGCCAGTGAGGAGGTTGTTCCTTGAAGGGGGTAGACACGAGGCAGTGTGCCAGTAAAGACGCTGAGCCCTGAAGGAGGTGGATTTGGTGGAGGTCCACATTGGTTGGGGAGGAGAACGAAACACCCTTTATAAGGATGTGGAAACCTTTCCGTAACAGACGTGTTTTAAAGTCTTAAGGAGAAATTCGAGAGAGAAAACCCAAATAATACAATATCTACTAGCTATGGACGTGTGCCCTTACCACCTCACCCCAAATTATAGCCATTTTAAGACTATACTTTGATGGATCATTTTTATGGCTACCCATAGATGTTGACATCACTAACATCAAACAAAGTTATCCAATCATTTTAGGACCACTTTGCTTTTATTTTTGGTTTAAATTCGATCTAGAGGATCAAAATCGAACCATTCTTTTTCACATTTGTTTTGTTTTCGTGTCCTTTTGTTAGATGCTTTGTATTGATTTTTTTTTTTTTTTTTTTAATAATGTTCTTTCACTTAGAATGACCCCGACATTCCCTTACATCTTGTGCGACATGATTAAGTTACCAACATTTGTCTTGAACTATTTCTAAGAGTGAAGTCTGTCACCACAGATCAACCGAAATTCTTTTATTATAATTTTTCTTACTCAAATGTTTCTAAGAAAAATTACTAGTAAGTCATTTAACATAAAATTGTTTCAAACCAAATTCGTTTAGTTTTTATGATTGAGCGACCGAAAAAAAAGGTGCACTTTATTTCTCGATAGCTCAATTATAGGAGCTCGAAAGTTAAGCGTGCTTAACTTTCAGCAATTCTAAGTTGAGCGATCTACTAGGAATTTTCTTATAAGAAGCATGTGAGCGAGGACAAAATATGTTAAGAAGATTGGTGTTTGTTTTTTGGAATAGTTTTTACTCTTAGAAATAGTTCAAGTCAAATAGGTAACGATATCAAAATTGAGATCGGAGTTTCGAATCTCTACTTAAAAAATAGAGCTCGAACAAAATAAAAGAAGATTTTATGTGGAGGTGAAAGACTCGAACCTATAACATGTTTTTAGTTGAAGACATGTGTCTTAACCAGTTGATTGAAGTCACCTAACCATAGGAAGTATTATCAAAGGAATTTGAGTCGGCAATATGTTGTTTGTTTGATAATAATGCATGAGGCTATTCAAAAAAGTGAACCATGTGCTAGGTATTGACTAGTTCTTATCGCTCATTAATCAATTTCTATTTGAAATCTTCATGTAGGGTCATAAACGATCAAATTTGTTAAGGAAAAATAACGAATGATTGGTTTCGATTTCAAAAACTATCCTCTTCTTATACTAGATAAAAGTTCTCTTGACAAAAAAACTTTGTCCGAAAACTCTTTTTCGATAGAGATGTCCATTTTACTTATCTCAATCGGGGAGGAGATTTCCCGTTTAAACAGGTAATAAGAGAGTGAGTGGAGAACATCTTTTTCCCACTAGATAAATGGGGCCGAGGACAGGGTTATATTCCCCCGACGCTATTTTAGTTGTCTCAAGAGAAATAACGATAGGAAAACCTAATTTTTTCGTAATAACTCGGGATTCTACTGTTGGTGATAGATTATTCAATGAAGTCGTCATATTAATTAAATACATTAGGTATTGTGACAACCTCATTGAATAATTTCTCGTAAATGAAATGAAAACGTCATTCCACTCCATTGAAATGCTTTGCATATAAAAATCAAGAAAACAACTTGCGAACTACCTTTTAGAATAGAGACATTGCTTATACATCACAATAGAGATAGGCATGTGAGAGGTAATCTTGTTTGTTTTGTCCCTAAAAAATCATAATATGAAAATTATTGGATGTAATATTTACTTGGGTATAAACCTTCGAATACCGAACTCAACGGAAGTAATATATGTCAATTATCATTGAGTTATGCTCGTGTTCATCTCGCCATACTTTGTATGTCTGCAAAGATACAATTTGATAAAATTAAAAGATTAAGGTTCAAAATGACAAAATTGACTATATTTACGATCATACACGCCTTATTTGATTATTTTTTCTAGGAAATAAGTGAGAACAAAAACATGCTGAAATAATTCGTGGCGGTCTGTGAAGATAGTCTTCACTTATAAAACGGAGAGGTAAGTAACATAACCATGTTTTATGGGATGCAGGGGAATGTCGGGGTCATGATGTGCCAAATCCCAATTTCGTATTCTGACCCAAATCTTGGACATGAGACATTACAGTAACCCGTAACCCGTCTTCCATTTTAAAATTGAGAGATTAGTAACATGACCATGTTGTATGGGATGTAGGGGAATGTCAGGGCCATGATGTGCCAAATCTCGATTTCGTATTCTAACCCAAATCTTCGATATAGGACATTGCAATAACCCGTAACCCATGTATCTTATAAAAATTGCAAGGTATCTTTATTTTCTATTACGAGATCCTTGACTAACGATACCAGCTCATAACTGAACTCACGTGAATTAGTTCAAAATCATTCACTCAATTCTTCTAACTCCTCGAATAATTTCTCGGAAACTTTTATCGAACCAAACCCCATTAATTTTAAGAAGAAAAATCAAACACCCTTTTCATCTTTAACGTTGATTCTTCACTTTATATCTTCAAACACCTCCACACTTGTGGCTTAAAGCGAAACCAGTCACACTCATCCTTTCGCCGACACATAGATTCTTCCAACTTGCTTCAAATATACACATATAAATCACTCTCATTTCTCCATTGGATCTCAACCAAAACAACCAAAACCCCATCTCCAAATTTTTCTTCTTTTCTTCGCCAATGGCTTCGAGCTCTTTAAAACAACAACGTCCCGAGGCGACATGGACAGCCAAGCAAAACAAGCTGTTTGAGAAGGCGTTGGCTTTGTACGACAAAGAGACGCCTGAGCGATGGCACAATATCGCCATGGCAGTCGGTGGGAAGTCGGCCGACGAAGTTAAAAGACATTACGAGATTCTCTTGGAAGATCTCCTGCGGATCGAGTCGGGCCGTGTTCCTATTCCAAATTACAGAGGCGTCCACAATGGAGATGAAGAGTTGAGGTTAGTGAAGTTGTTCAAAGATTTTTTTCCCTCTTTATTTTAATTTTTGTCTTGTTTTTTTTTTTTTTTTTATTACCAATTTTGGGTACATGTTTATGTGGTTAATATTGTGATTAGGTTAAGTTTTTTATATGGTTGGTGGATATTTGTGAGACTTTGACTTATTAGAGTATTTTGTTGGTTGAATTTATTGTAATTTATTGGCTAGTTTGTGACCTATTGTCTAATCTAATTTTAAGTAGGTATTAATTGCCGTTTAATTAGATGAAACTAAAGAAAACCTTTAAACTTAGGAAAAAAAAAAATTTTTGTTGGAGGATGAAAGTCCAAGCTCGACTAATTTAGGGAATGATCATAGCTTAATTTGTTTGAGGGGAGGTATTGGATGAAAGTCCCACATCAGCTAATTTAGGAAATGATCATGTCATACTTTGTTCAAAAGAAGGTGTTTGATGATGATAGTCCCAAAGAAATGATCATGAATTTATAATCAAAGAATACTTTATCTGTTGGCATGAGGCCTTTTGGAGAAGCCCAAACTAAAGCCGTGACAGTTTATGATCAAAGTGGACGCTTTAAAACTGTGAGATTGATGACGATATATAATGGGCCAAAGTGAATAATATCTAGTAACAATGGGCTCGGATATGATAACTTTGAAAGACTCTAAAAAATTCAAAAGTATTTTTTAAGTAAAATACTAATGCTTTCTATTCAAAACTAAGGACAATTCTTTTTGAAGCTTAAAAATCTTATTCAAACTTTTGAAAGTTTAAGGATAATTGAAAATGTTTTGCTTTGCATTTGCTCTATTGGTAGGCTGCTGAAGTATCTTAAGCTGCAATAAACTGCCACCGCCGTCTTTCAGTCTCTCATCAAGAACAAATGGCTCACTCCAAGATGGATTCATACATATTTAAATCTACAAGTTTATCTCAAATAAAAGTGTACAATTTTATCATTTCATCATGTTATCATTTTTTATTTAAGAATTTAAAGGCAACTTTGGAAACATTTAAGTTCAAACTAATATTTCTTAAATTAATAAGCTAATGTAGTCGTATAATGTCCTCTTGCTTATGAGAAAAATTCTCTTGTAAAAAGGATTTATAATATCGATGTGACATCTGAGTAAAGTAATGGTATATCAATGAAGAGAGACTACATTCAAATGAGAGCAGTCTTGAGGATAATATAGTTATTGAAAGTTATTACCTATACCAATAAAATGCAACTTTCTTTTGAGTGGCTCAATCATAATAACTCTAAAATTAAACGTGTTTAGTTCGGAGTAATTTTCTTTTCAGTGAGATCACATATTGGTTGGAGATGTGGATGAAGCATTTTTTATAAGGGTGTGGAAACCTCTCCTTACCAGACGCTTCTTAAAAATTGTGAGGTTGATGGTGATGCAGAACGGGCCAAAGTGGACAATATCTACTCGCAGTGGGCTTGGGCTGCTATAAATGGTATCAGAGCAAGACACCAAACACTGTTCTAGCGATGATGTTGGGCCTCCAAAGAGGTGGATTGTGAGATCCAACATGAATCTAAGAAGGGAACGAAACATTTCTTATAAGGGTGTGGAAACTTCTCTCTTACAAATGTGATTTAACAATAGTGAGGCTGATGACTATACGTAACGGGTCAAAGCAGATAATATTTACTAAAGGTGGAATTGGGTTATTACAATACAAGTGAAGGGACCTGTGGGTAACATGACCATTTTGCCGCACAGGTATTGAATATGGATTTCAAATTCTGAGCATGAATTGTTACAATATAAATCTTCCGATTAATCAAATACTAAACCCATTAATTAAAAAACCAAATAGAAATAGAAGGAAAATGACTAAAAAAAAATATTGTTGGACCTTGAGATAGCTTAACTTTGAGGGCATCTAGTACAATTATTCCTAGTGTGCTTTATTCTACTCCTTTTGTTCTTACGTTAAGTTAAAAAAAGAGATGGCTTTTGGTCTTTTTTTTTTCTTTGTGGGTGAAAGGAATTTTTGCACGAATGGGCTTCATTCTTTCTCCGCTTTCAATTTTATATCTAATAAATAAGTTTGTATCAAATAAGTCATAAATCTATGACTTATTTAACATTTTTTTAAATGTACTAATTACCGTGAGTCACGATCTGATCCTCGTGGAATTTGATAAGTTTTTTTTGGTTAAAAGTTGAAAATTTCCGAGTGTACATTCTTCATGTATAGTTGATGATTTTAGGTGATTCTTGTCCCATTAATTCGTCTGGATGAGTTCTACAAGTTTGGTGAAGGAATATAAGAGTTATCGAAAAAAAAATTGAATGTTAGATCTCGAAAAGCATAAATGAAAAATACATAGGTGGGCATGAGATTGAAGAACTGGTTCAACTTCGAGGCGTTCACCTATCCAATCCACTTCAATTTGATCTATTTTCTATTTTCCGAGCCAATTTCAACCTTACTAATAATTTTCTAGCTTTATTGAGTAAATTTCTTCAAAACTAATTTGTGGTATTAATTCGAAAAATCAAGTCGTTACATTTAAAGAGAAGACATCATTCATGAATTTTAAAGGTGTCTCCTCCAAGTAGATTCAATCCTTGAAATCAAATTCCTAGATGTTGTTTCCAATATTTTTTCGTCTTTGCATGTAAGATCCTACATCGATTGGAAAGGGGAATAAAATATTCTTTATAAAGGTGTGGAAATTTCTCTTTAGAAAGTGCGATTTTAAATCGTCTTTGCATGTAAGATCCTACATCGATTGGAAAGGGGAATAAAATATTTCTTATAAAGGTGTGGAAATTTCTCTTTAGAAAGTGCGATTTTAAACCGTGAGGCTGATGACAATTTGTAACAGGCTGGAATAGACAACATACTTGCGATGGACTTGGGCTATTACAAATGGTATAAGAGCCAAACATTGAGTGGTGTACCAGTTAGAACGCTGGACCTCCAAGAGGGGTGGATTGCCGAAGCAGACAATATCTACTAGTGGTGGACTTAGACCGTTACATTGCATGTCTTGTTAACTATAACTTAATCAGCTAGAATCCCCATTTAAAGGGAAGATACTCTTTTATCATTCAACACTATATAAAAGCTTAACCCTTACATATGAGGCAAGAAATTTCCATTACACAAACACAAACAAAGTTGATAATTAAACCCTTTATTTAATCTCCTCTCTTAGTAGAAAGGGCTATAAGAGCCCTAAAGATCCAAGTGTATTGGGTACTTGGAAATGCAACCTTCCCAAAGATTGTTTGGACATGGCTTGACATCCATGAGAGCCACCCACACACCACTATTGCATTTGAAACCACTCCCAAATGCAATTTGCCAAACTCGATCTCCCTTCAAAACCTTGCCTTTGCACTCTTTGTATGCCAATTCATACCATATTGAGCTCGAAGATGCGTTGCCGAACCTATGTAGTGTCATTCTTGAAGCCTCGACGTCGTCGGCCGAAAGTCGAAGCTTCTTTTGGATTTCGTTGATCACGGTCTTCCCTCCGGCATGGATGCAAAAATGCTCGAATGCCAACTTGAAATTAGGAACATAACCCTTCATGTTAGGGTTGAAGAGCTTCTTAGCAACAAACATGACGGAAAACCGAAGTAGCTCTCGTAATGGAAGAACGAGAGGACCGAGAGTAGTGATGTTTCTTCTTAGAGCGCCTCCTGCCATGACCACGACATCTTTCGATAACGCAATGCCAGTGATACCATCATCGTCTTCCTCCTAATACCAAAGTTATCATGTTCAATAAGGTTTCAATCTCATTGAATATTCAATCTATGTTTTTAGTTTTTTTTCGAAAAGGCCTATATTCCTTATTTATATACTCATGATCGGTAATGGTCAAAGGTCACCGTTAACCGATATTGTCCTCTTTGTGTTTTCCCTCAAGGTTTTTAAAACGGGGTTTCCACACCCTTATATGGTCTTTCCCTCAAGGTTCTTAAAACGCGTCTGCTAGGAATAGGTTTCCATACCCTTATAAAAGGTGGTACGTTCTCCTTCCTAACAAGGAAGTGGGATCTCACAATCCACCCCCTTCGAGGCCTATCATCTTCTTCGCTGGCACTTGTTATTTTCTCTAATTGATGTGGGATCCCCCAATCCATCACCTTTCAAGGCCAGCATCCTTGCTGGCACATCACCTCATTTCTACTCCTTCGAGGCTCTGCTTTCTCACTAGCACATCGTCTAGTGTCTGGCTCTGATATCATTTGTAACAATCGAAGTCCAGAGCTAGCAAATATTGTTCTTTTTGAGCTATTCCTTTCGACACCCTTATAAAACGCATCTGCTAGGGACAGGTTTCCACACCCTTATAAAGGGTACTTCGTTCTCCTCTCTAATCGATGTGGGATCTCACATGATCTTTCTTTTACTCTAACCTTATGTCGATTGAAATTTCATTCTTACCTGATATACGCATTTGAATGCTAGGTCATCGGCCCCGATGTGCGTCCTCACCAAATGGGCAAGCTTATACTTTGCCCGCCACCGGTCGGAGCTTCGGTTCGAGAGAAGAATCGCAGTGCAATTCTGTCGAAACAAGCAAACGGGTACCAACATTTGCTTCTTATTTCCAGGGTAGAAATTATTGGTGATGTTCTCCGTGGTAACAACAATGGCGTAGCTGTTTTTATATACTTGAAGCATATTATTGGCTAGATCAATGGCTATCAATCCAGAACTACACCCCATGCCACTTAAATTAAAGCTTCTAACATTGTTCCTCATCTTGTATTTATTCATAACCATGGCTGAAAGTGAAGGTGGCGGGCTAAAAGTTCCGCCGTTGACGACAAGAACATCGATGTCCACAGGTTCAACATCGACATTATTAGCAAATAAATTGTCCAAGGCATCGAATATCATATCCTCGGCTTCTTTTCTCGACGCTGCTAGGGACAAATCGGGTCGAAGGCTCGTCATAGTTGTAGGCACTGTCGTGTCGTCGCCAATGCCTGATCGCTTAAGAATTTTGTCCATGAACTCGATGGATGTGTCATTATAGGTGCCGTAGAGCTTGCAGGTGTTTATATATTTGTCGAGTGTGAGGGTTGAAGAGTGCGGGAGATGGTGGTTGTAGCAGGAGAAGTCGAGGAGGTAGACCTGCCTGCGACGGGTCATTTTGAAGATTGTGTATCCCAAAATGGCAAATAGGATAAGGAGATTGAGGTGGTGGAGCCATAACTGTAGAAAATCATATGAGTTCATATGGGAAGGCTTAAGAATGATAATGGGCATTAGAGGGATCAAACAAAATTTTATGAATTTGAGTAAGAGAGAAAATGTACATATATATAAAGATGTTCATAAAAGCTCGATGAGTTTTAACCTAATCGACCTAAATTAATTGTTATTGTTTGGGTCAAGTCATAAACTTATTTGAATTGGGTTGAGTTCAAATAGATGAGAACTTTATCAGATTGATTCATATTGTGAGATTCCATATCGGTTGTCGAGGGGAATGAATCATTTCTTATAAGGGTGTGAAAACCTCTCCCTAGTAGACACGTTTTAAAAACCGTGAAGCTGACGGAGATGCGTAATAGACCAAAGTGGATTATATTTACTAACAGTGGGCTTGGACTGTTACACATACGTAATCGGTCAAAGCGGATTATATTTACGTAATAGTAGACGCGCTTTTTATTATTATTTATTCTTTCAGAACTCTTAAAAATAATTTTTAAGTCGTAAATTTTAATTAGGCATTTGAAAAGAAGTAAATGTATGTTTTACTTTTACTAAAAACAAAAATTTTAAAAAATAACTTAAACAACTTAAACTAATCAAAGTTAAAAAAGATTAATGATTGGGGTTCTTATTTTAAATAAGAGTTATTTGAGTAGAAAAATTTAGGAACATTGGATCTAAAATATGTCCAAATTTGTCCTAAATCAACTCATAATGTGAGATCTCGCATCAATTTGAGAGAGGAACGAAGTATGGTGTAGAAATCTCTCTCTAACAGATATATTTTAAAAATTGTGATGCTGACGTTGATACGTCATGACCAAAAGAGGACAACATCTACACGTCATGGGTTTGAGTTGTTATTGGATTTATTATGCCATTTTTTTTTATTAATCTATTAGGTTTGAAATTAATAGATAAGTCAATCGTACTAAAGTTCATAAAAAAGATGGTACGAAGTCTTGTTCACCAATGTACATATGGGAGAGTGAGGTTTTTTAGGTTTTGAAAGATAGATTTCGAGCAAAGAAAACGAAGTTTGGTGTAATTACCCTAATTTTATTACTGAAATAGAATCGTTCCATATGCATGACGTGTCTTTTTTATGCGAAAACTTTCATTTAAAATAGTTCATTAAACGATGCATTGGAAGGAAGCAATTGTTTTGCAAGGTTTGCTCGATTTATCTTGACCCTTATTGCTCGACTATTGTTTAGCCTCTATAAGATACCTGTCTGATAACCATTTCGTCTTTTGTTTTTCATTTTTCGTTTTTTCATTTTTTAAAAAACAAGAACATCTTATAACATTTTTTAAAATAAAATATTAGGGTTTCAAAAAATTAATTTAGAATTTTGCGTAATCTTGTATTTTCTTCTAACACAAACACGTTTGATTTTTAATTTTTTTTAAAGCACAAGAAAAAAATAGTTAAACATATGGGTATTAGAAAATTAGAAATAAAATCGTTATTGAAGGATGCTTAAAAGATTAGATTTTGGTTGATTGATATATCGACCTAACATAATCAAAAGTTACTTTTTTAGGTGTTCGTGCATGCTAATTCTTAGATATTCATGAATGTTCGAGTAAGCCTAGTTCGGGTTAATATGAACTTATAATTTATTTTTGAAAATCTATGTACTTTTTTTTCTACGTATTTCAATTCTACTTAAGGTAGAGTAGAGACCTAGTGCTTTAATTGACATATAACACACTATTACAACTTTCTAAACCTAATAAACTCATTTTCTCCCATTTAACACCGACTTGCCTAGATAATCGTGTATAGAATCACATCGATGTACAGTACGAACAATAACTCGTACTTACTTTTTGATGTTGTGTATTTTAATTAGCTCGAAAGTTTTAATATGATCTATTAGATTAGTAAAAATATAGCGATTTACTTTTTCTTTCAAAATAAGATTGGAACTATGACGTAAATGTGAAAAACTATCTAGCTTGATTTTATTTGTTGGTCTCGTAAGCTGGTGTCTTCCTATGTATATGAGATCTTTGTGTTCATCTAAAAAAATGATAGACATAAAATGAATATTTTAAAAATATTCAATAAGTGATGGTACTGTTGGGATCGAAAAATGTAACCACATATAACATAATTCATGACGGGTAAGACTTACTTTTCATAACTATTTCTTAGGTTTTATTTTCTTTTTTGATTAGGATTTGATGAATAGTATTTTCTCGTACACAGTTCACATATGTGCATATGAACCTACTTGGTGAGCTCGAATTCGTATCCTCAGCCTGACTATAGACTAGCACACGCCCACCTCACCAAAAACCAATAAAATGTTGACATTAAAACACAGAAATTAATAGGTGAAAGTGATGTTCGTAGGCTAAATTAAAAAGAAAATAATAAATAAAAAAACCAAATAATCTTGATTTTTGTTTTGTTACTTTTTAGATTTTTAAAATCTAAGAAAATTTAGGGAATTTTTTTTTTTAATTATAATTTATTTTATTTTTACAAATTTTCTATGAATTCCAATATTCCCTTAGTTTTTTTAAATTCTTTGGCTTTAGAGCAAGTTTCAATAATGTGTCAAGCAAATATTTCTTCGTGCATATCCACGAAAACGGTTCTAATGTCTATTATTTGTTTAGTGGCATCTGTCTCTGTATTATTGCGGCTCTTAACACAGAGTTAACCAATTCTTATTTTCCAGATATCGTCATTGCTTCTTCTTTGAGAAAAGAAGTTCACGACCCGTAAATCTTCTATCTCCACGTGACATTGCTCCATCAGGGTTTCGCCCATTGCAAAAAATTCTCCACATTGCCTCTTGTAGGAGTTTAAGTCGTGTCTGAGTCTCAGTGCTTGTTGGTATAGATAGTAACTTTCTATTCTTTTAAGTTTTTCATACTTATGTTATTTTTAAAATTACTCATTTAAATATGGTTTTTTTTTTCATTTAAATACCCGTACTCCTCCTTTGCGTCTTACTAAGAAACATAAATTAGAGCTTTCATTGTTGAGAAGGCAAAAAGGTACACCATATTGCTTATAAATTTCATTATAAAAGGACATAAATATTCATTATCCTAACGAAAAAGGAAGGGATAATCCTTTTGATCTTTCCCTCCCAAAATCGATGGTTGATAACAATTAACATAGAGCTTGACGCCAATCAATAATATTAGGTATCATATTAGACAAAAAGGTTCGTTCTTCTTTCCTTCTTTTATTCTCCATTACTTCACCATCACAATGGTGGAGCTTCATGTTTCTCATCCTGAGAAGAAAAAAAAAACATTGGGTTAAAATCAAACATGAATAATTAAAAAACCGAAAATTTTGGTTTGGTTTGGTTTATAAGTTGATTTTTTTTTTTTTTTTTTTTTTTTTTTTTTTTTTTTTTTTTTTTTTTTTTTTT